AATATAAGGATCATTATTATCCAAAGTATGAAGACACAAATTGATGTGAATATACTTTGTATACAACCAAAGATATGAAAAATTGTGTTCTATATGTGTAATAAGAATTTTAATGCATTTTGCTGTCATATATAAATAAAAAAAGAAAGAAATCATAGATATATTGATATTGGCAGAAAATGAGAGAAGTGGGCCAGGAAAGGAATAGCAAATGGTGGGTAAATAGCCAAATGGAAAGAATATGTGTTACCAAAAGTGACATCAACAACTCATCTCCAACTGATGGCTGTCATGCATGACAATGGGTCCATAATTGTCACATCTAGCAACATTTCAAAAGGGACTAGAAATTTGGATTTTTAAAATGAAAACTCCTGAATTTTAAATGCTTCTAACACATATTATGCTATTTTCTGTTGTTCTATTTTCCATGTATCTGTGAATCAATAATGAGATTTTATCTCTTTCCTTCAGATTATATCATATCATTTTTTTCTTAAAGAATTAACAAGGACCTTCTTGTTAAACAGTAGCAAAGATAGTTAACATCCATGTTGTGTTCTTAATTTTAAAGGAAACACATAAGCAAACTTGTCATTATGCATACTGTTTATTTTAGGATTTTGATATGAAAATATGAACTGTGACAATGAAATGTATTAATATTTCTAATAAGAGAATTGAGAAAGGTTTCCAGATAGTATATGACCTTTCATGAATAAGTGGCATTTATCTACAATAGCAATAACCAATATATAATATATATTTGTTAAACTATATAATTCAAAACAAATCTTAAAATGATCCAAAACTAATGGAACAGTTAAGGCCACTAAGGAGAAAAATAATTTAATTCCATTTAAAGACATTTTAATGACAAGAATAAGGGAAGAGATATTCTACACTCTTGGATGAGATGTATTTTTAAGACTAAAATGATAGAGTTCAGTTGTCTTCAAATAAAGTTTTAAATTCTTGTGCTTACCAGAAGTTTCAGAGAATAGAGGGGGGTGGAGAATGAGAAAAAGTTGATCAATGGGCACTAAGTTTCACTTAGATAGGAGCAAGAATTTCAATGTTGCAACACAGAATGTCCATAGAGAATGTGGATTGCAAAAAGGTGGAAGAAAGCATGTTGAAAGCTTTTGCCAAAAAGAAATGATAAATATTTGAGGAGATAAATATGTTTAACTTGATTTAAGCATTCTACAATATATGCATGCATGAAAACATCATGTCACCCCATTAATACATTTTTATGCTTTTATGCAGAAATTAAGATAAATTTAAGTAAAATTATAAATTTATGAAATATTGCTCAAAATTTAGCTTAAGTTTTGAGGAACTAGATAAACTCTTTAAAAAAACAACTATATATGGAGCCAAGCTCTGTATGAATACCTATAATTCCAGCTACTTGGGAGGCTGACACAGGTGGATCACAAGTTTGAAGCTATAATTGAGACTCTGTCCTAATTAGAATATGATATACTCCATATTTGCACAAACATGTCAAAATAGAGTCTACTATAATGTATAACTGAAAAGAACAAATATAAATAAATAAATATGTCTGAGGATGTAGCTCAGTGGTATAGTGTGTATCCAGTATGTGCAGGATCCTGGATTCAATCTCCAGAAGCAGAAAAGAAAAGAGAGTAAAAAGTGTTTATGCAAGATTAAATGTCTACATGCCCTAAGTCACCCTATAACAAGGTGCAAATAAGTAGATTTGCTCTGCTAAATATTAAGATATATTTCTGTCTGTGCATGGCTCAAGATGAAATCCCAGTATTTATGAGACTGAGAAGTTCAAATCTATTAGTAATCAGAGAAATGCACATTAAAATAGCAATGAGAAATCAAGGTTTCCTGATCATAGAAATAAAGATTACAAAGCCAGATGGTGCCAAGTACTAAAGATGTGGGGTAGACAAGGCCTTATAGTCCCGGGGGAGTTTGGACTGATGCAGCCACTCCTGAGAGCCATGCGGCAGGACTTAGATTAAAGGAATATATATCCCAAGCCCAGAAATCCCAGTGTTATCTTTGGCACACAGATCCATAAGAAGACATGTATGAAGTCGTCCATCATGGACTTCTTTATGGTACCAGAGAGCTGTAGGTAATTGAGTTGCTCATCCATCATGAAAAAAGCAGGTTGGTAAATGACAGGGAGGAACATCACAGAAAACTAGGCATCAGCCAAAAGCAACAGACTAGGTATACATTTTGGAAACAGAGAGCTCCCTCAAAAGGGTGCTGGCTGGAAAAAGCCAGGAGTAGAATTTAGTCTCTAACATAATAGAGATTATATGAATTATTAATTCAAGCACACAAAATAAAAGTGCACATAAAAGCCAAAGAAGGGCAAATTGGTTGTGGAGGAAGATGGGAATGAGTCATAGACATAAAAATAAAAATGGGGGTGGGGTGGGTTGGGGGAAGAAGTGAAGAAAGAGAAGAAGTTAGAAAAGGAGGGGGTTGGGGGAAGAAAAGAAATCCATCCACAAATAAGACATAAAGCTTCATGGACCAAAGATGATACTGTGCCCTAATAAGGTTTAGCTAACTCAACTTTCTAGTCCAGAGAGTATAAAGCATCAGCCTTATATAATACCTTTAATTTTGTTTTAATACTGTCTGTGTGGGTCAAACAAACTACATCTTTCAACTGGAATGCCGCGTGAGACCTCTTGCACAACCACTAGTGTTGGCATTTAAGAATATTCTTATTGAATCCTTCTTAACTTCTTTTATTTTCCTACCTAATGACTGACTCTGCAGTTTCTTATAAACTTATGCTGCACCTACTACATTCTTAAACCTATCTCCCCTCACTCTAGTCCCTAGCTGGCATGCACTCATGCTTCATGACTCAGTTCTAATGTCCTGGGTCTCATTGGCTTCAGAACTTTGCTCCCGTAGCAATCCCTTCGAAGTGTCTTTAACTTTAGTAAGGTCTCTAGAGAAAGACTACAACTTATGAAGCTTCCACTTTAGTGCCATCTGAGTCTATAATTGCTACAAAACTAGTCCACACCACTTTATTTTCTCCTCCTCAACAATATTGCTCAAAATATAATATAGATGTAATTTGTGGGGACAAGTAAAAACTAAAATTTGGACTCTTGTCCAAAAATTATTAAGAATTTTAAGATGGTAACTTCAGAGCATTAGACCCAGCATGGGATGCCTGTGAGCACAGGGGGCTTTTGTGATTGCATGTTATACATCTAAGAAGGCAACCCTATTCTGGCTTAACATCTTTCAAAGATTTATCACAACCAAATAAAACCTCTAATCCCTAACATGGTCAGAAAGTCCTGTCACAGTATGACCTCTACTCACTTCTCAAACCTCATCTGGGTTCACTTCTCCTCTTCATCACTCTCTGGAAACAATGGATGTTGTCCAGTTCTAAGACCATGAGAAGTTCCTCTCTCTCAGATCTGCAACACTCTTATCAACTGTTTTCCTGTTCACCACATTTCTGTTCCTCACCTATCAGCTTAAATGTTTTCCCTCGGTGACACCCCAGTCAGGTAAATGTTATACATTATGTTACATCTTAATGTTATATTGTGGTATACCTTCTCAGAACACCCTAAATATTTTCTTCAGGGAATTTATCACAACTGGCAGTTGTACAGCAAATTTAATAAGTATCTTACACATGCCCCCCAACTTGACTGTGACTTCCATGAGACTAAGATTTTTGTCTCTTTTCATTATTATTATTTCCTGCTTGGTGTCACCAGCACCAAGCACATTGCCTACCACAGCACAGATACTGAATGAATAATTGTTGATGAAGGACTAGTTCTCCCATTCTTAGTGGAGTATCTGCCTCTTCATAGGATGAAATAAATGTTTGCTGAGCTGCTGTCTATTGATAAAATGCAAAGCCTAAGACAAAGGCAACTCTATGGAAAATTTTAAGCACAAATATATGGTTTAAAGAAGGAGTTTTTGTTTTTTGTTTTTTTCAATTTGACATTACTGAAAATAAAGGTAATTGCATTTGGATTTTTAAATGAGATCTGGGTTTTGAAGTAAGGATATCAAGTCCCTGATTTATATATGTTATGTTCCAACTAAACTTTATCATCATGAGCACCCACTTAGTAGTATGACAGAATTCTAATTAACCCTAATCTTCTGCTGAGGAGATCTGATACGACAAGAGACAGAGAGAGCGGCTCAGATCTAAGTGTATACGTAGTATTTTTGTCCCAGAGCTTAATTATATCAATTACTCAAAATCACTAGCTATTCTCATATAATTAGAGTAGTATAGTAAATTCCGCTATTCTCTTTGTGGGTCATGTGCACTTATCCATTCAATATTATACATTCACTACTCTATATGAAGCTCTCTTTTCTTTTAATGATCTGAAAACCCCCACACTGGCAAAACAAAAATACATATGAAGAATTTACTTGGTATTACATAGGTAAGGAGAGTGACTGACTTTATTTTGCTTTTTTCCTGGTTTTGACAGCATTTCTAATACCACAGATTCTAATGCTAAGGATCCGTTTGGCCCAGGAAATAATAAGAAAAATGTTACATGAATCTGTGGATGATCAGGTATGTGAGAGTCTCCTGGAGGTTATGCTCAATAAAGCTTGAGAGTTCTAACGTCAGCACATTTTATAAAGAAAGAAACAAAGAAGAGTACCAAAACTGGAGACAGATCAGCGCTTACTACCCTCGGACCAGAACTTTCCTGAAAGTGCCAGTATGATGCAGATGTCCTGTAACTGAATCAAAGCACTTTAATAATCCAAAGAAATATATCCTGGCATTCATAATGTTTATGTTTACTTAATTGAAGGAAAGAAAAGGGAAGAATGGAAAGGAAGGAGGAAAAGAAAGAGGAGGGTAAGAGGGAAGGAGGGGAGAGAAAGGGGGAAAAAAAGGAAAGGAAGAAAGAAAAGATTGTCAAATCTTGTCATGCACTAAGACAATGCATAATCACATCCCCAAAACCTACCTTCTGGGTACCAAGGCTGTGTGTGAGGAGGCCATTCTTTCTCTTCGTGGCAAAAGGACTTGTAATCAGGACAGCAATCAGAATTTTCCCTTTCACAGAATTTATCACAGTAACACAATGCATTTGCTTCATAGAACTCAGTAACACAGCCATCATCTCTGTCTTCACAACAACCAAAAGTTCTACAGTACTGCCCTTGGAAAATGGCTCTTTTGAATCGAGTACCTTCCAAAATGGTGTGATTCCTAGTGAAATAGTCTCCAAGGTTCACTTCTCTTTGAGATAAATAATGATTTTCCATCCAGATTTCTGTAGTCAGATAAGAAAAGATTAAGATCTTATATCCGGTCCACATTCTCTGGAGGTTGAGGAGAACTTCCTCTTTCAATTATATCCAATACTGTTGGTCTTGGGGGCTTCTCCTTGGAGTACGAACTCTGATTATCAAGACACCTCAGCCTAACCCCTGAAACTGAGTCTTCATGTGAACCGAGTATACTTCCTATAGTTAAATATTAATCAGGAATTTCAATGTTTGCCCAAGATAATACAAATGTTAGACATAGACTATTATAATATAACAAAGTTAAAAATTTATATTTCATATAATGTCAAAGATTGGTCTTACCCTCAAAATAAAACCTAAATTCTTATGCATAAATGATACATTGAAGATTGCTTTCCCCTAATAAGTCTAGAGTCTTAAATCAAAACCTCTATGGTATGTCCATGGCCCAAATTATGGCTGTAATACTACTGGCAAGGTGTAAGAATTTCAAAAGTCAAAAATGCAATTATTTGTTTCACCTATTTGCACTGTAACTAAAATCCAGGCTCTCATGAAGTTGCCTGCTAGGATCTGTCATATCAGTTACAGTTGCTCTAAATCATGCCTAGTCCCACACTGGCTTGATTTTCCATCTGCACACCATTTACACCAAAAGCATTTTGATTTCAAGGCTTAGTGGAGCCTGATTCATCTAGAAATTCCCTGAGGGTGACCTTATTTCTTCCCACCAGTATCCCTACTTAGCATTAAGGGAAACTTGTAGTATCTATAAGGCAATTCATAACCAAGAAAATTTAGTATTCTCTGCTAGACAGCTGTGGAGGAGGGGAGTTGTAAAAGAAGCTCAAAGGTCACGATGTCTTTAGTCTTTCTGTAGAGCTGTGCATTTACAGTGGATTTTGCTAAACTGTATTTATTCATTAACTATAATAACTTGGCTTTGGGATAAGTAACCAGGAGACGATGATTCAGCAAGAGTGGCTGGGTGGACTCATGGAAAGGAGCTGTCTTGGCAATGAGAAACCTGGACGCCGGTCCCCAAGCTACTGTTTAATTGGCTCTATGACCTTGGGATAACCGTTGCTTACCTCTTTGGCCCTCAGTTATTTTTCTATAAAACAAGGGTCTCCCTCTCCGAGGCTATTTCATAATTCTAATTCTTCAAACTTCTGGCTTCACATTTTATTCAACTCACTTTTATAATCCTCAATGTGCCACTATTTTTCTGATACTTCCTTCTCAGAATATAAACAAGTGTCTTTTTTTTTTTTTAGCTCTGCATCTTGCTGTCACTATCCATTATTCCCCTATCTCTTCAACCCAAGAAATGCTGCTTCTACCCCCTTGCCACTCAGGAAGCCACTAAATTACTGCAAAGTATTATATTGCCAAATACTTCCACTAATGATGTCTTAATACCCAATTCCTGTTGCCCCACATCATCTTTATGATGCATGTATCTTTTACAGCATTCTAAAAGTTTACATGTTAAGTGTACTCCGAAAGAAAAAGAAAGAAGGAGAGAAGGAGAAAAGGAGGAAGGGAGAAAGAGAGGGGGATAAGGAAAAAAGGAGAGGAGAGACGAGACTGGGAGAGAGAAAAATAGTAATTGTGTGAGGTGATGGATGTTCATTACCTTGATCATGGTGATTATTTTACAATGTCCATCAAAACACAAAGTTGTGCACTTTAAATATATACTATTTTTACTTGTTGATTACACCTCAATCTGGGGGACAAAAACAGGTTGCCTAAGTGTTATCCTAAAGGAATTCAAATTCTTTCATTCAAGTTTTCCCACCTACTGGCAGCATGTCTTTGGGAAAGTGACAACTACTTCAATGGGTCAGTTTCCTCATCGGTAAAATTAGAGGAATAATATCATTTGGACAATATTGTAGGTGCAGTGCATGGGACATTTAAATGAAATAACAAAAAACACTTCACACATCACATGTCGAGTGTCAGTTGTAATCAGTTAGTCATTATTGTCTATCCTCCACGTGGAAACTTTCCTCCTTTGCTTTCTTTGATTTCATTCTCTCCTGATTCTCATCTAATTCTTCATAAGGCTCTCAATTGACCAGCTTGCTCTTGGGTCCATTTCCTTCCATTCTCAATGATCATTAGAAATATGCTTTAACTAATGACCTCGACTCTCCCTACCCCACCAGCCCCCACACCTCATATTCCCTCAAACTTCTAGCACTGGATGCATTTAAAAGCCATGGGCCACAAGACCCTGTGCAAGACGAGTCCCCAACCTGATTTCCTGACTTCAACTTATACCACTTTACCACTTCCTTATATTGGTTTCATCTTCATATTAGGGTTCTTGCCATTCCCCCAACATGCCTGGCACTCTCCTATCTTAGGACCTTTACAGTTGCCCACTGAATACCTTCTCAGGTACTCACATAGCTCCACAGCTCCTCTCTCAAATCATTTTGAAATGGCACCTTCTCAGAGAGGACTTGCCCACACTCCTTATAGGAAAGGACAACCATTCTTCTGACCCAGCGCTCCCATTTCCAGTTTTCTATTTACCACTGATAGATTATAATTTTATTTAATGGTTTTATTATTTTCTGCATTTCCTCTCCAGATAGTAAGATCTGAACATTATAAAATGTTGTCTATTCTGTTAATTCCTTTATCTCTAGCATCTATAACTGAGCTTGGTACTCAATAGGTGCTCAATAAATATTTATTTAATAAGCAAATAAATCTCACAATTTCTGTTTTTTACCCTGTAATCTCAGATAAGCAATCTATTGAGTACTATTGAAAATTATTTACTAGACCACAGAACTGGCACCATTACAACTTTGGGGGAGTTATATCTGAGTTCTTAAATGTTGCTCACATTTCTTTAATATGTCTACCCTTTCTTTTTTTACTGTTTCTTTTTAGTTATATATGACAGTAGATTCCATTTTGATAAAATTATACAAACATAGGTTTTATCTTACTCTAATGAAAACCCCATTCTTGTGGATCTATATGATGGTGGAATTCACTTAGGTATTTTTTCTATATGTGCACGGGAAAATTATATCAGACCCATTCCACTGTCTTACTTATTCCTATCTTTCTCCCATTCCCTCCATTCCCCTTTGTGTGTGTGTGTGTGTGTGTGTGTGTGTGTGTGTATATATATATATATATATATATATATATATAACAAGTTCAGTTGATTATATTTGTATATATGTAAAAATTATATATCTCACCATTTCTTTATCCACTCATCTGTTTAAGGGCACCTAGGTTGTCTCCATAACTTGGCTATTGTGAATTGTGCTGCTATAAACTTTCTCTCCTTTTTCTTAGCAACTATTATAAATCTACTTGATTTCCTAACCCACTCCCTCATTTTCTAGAGATGTGCTTCTCTCAGAAGTTATAAAGAAAACAAAGAAAAGTTAGTCCCACACCTTCCTATCATCAAACTCATAAGCCTATCTACTTTGCAGCCATCCTTCCCATCTTCTTTCCGGAAGGTTAAGGTGATATCCATGTGCCAGATAATTCCTCCATCTATGACTTTAGTCTAACACCATTTATCTGATTCCTTCCCTTACCTCCTAGTTCCCACATGTCTTCAATCTCTCTCCTTTTTCTTTGTGTGCTTGGATTATTTTAATACAATGTCTTCAGTTTCAACCAGGTTGTCACAAATAACAAAACTTCCTTCTTTTCAAAGGCTGTATAGTAGTCCATTGTGTATGTATGCAGTATTTTCTTTATCTTTTCATCTTCTGATGGCACTTGGGTTGATTCTTGTACGTTGGCTATTGTGAATAGTGTTGCAATAAACATGGGAGTGCAGATTTCTCCTGAACATAGTGACTTCGTATCCTTTGAAGTACATATGCCAGGCAGCTCCTGTCTTAGAACCTTTGCACTTGCTGTCCTCTTCACCTATGAATATAAACACACCACACACACACACACACACACACACACACACACACACACATTCTTCAAAGTGGGATCAATAGACCATCTGATAATTGTATTTTTAATTTTTTAAGAAGCCTCCACACTGTTTTCCATAATGGCTGTTCTAACTTACAATCCCACAGCGTGTGTCTGAGGGTTCTCTTGCCCCCATACCCCAACCAACACTTGTTTTCTTTTGTCCATTTGATTACCCCATCCTAACAGATCTGATGTGATTATTCATTGGAATTTTTATGAGTATTTTCCTGATGGTTAGTGAGGTTGAACATTTTCTCATATACTTGTTGGTCACTTGTGTGTCTTCTTTTGAGCGATGTCTATTTAAATGGGGTTTGTCCTTTTTTAAATGGGGTTAATTGTTTTCTTGTTACTGAATTATTTGAATTTTTATATAATTAAATATTAACCCCTTCTCAGATTTATAGTTTGCAAATATTTTCGCCTGTTCTATAGGTTGTGTTTTCTCTCTGTCACTTATTTCTTCTGATATGCAGAAGCTTTTCAGTGTAATATACTCCAGTTTGTCAAGTTTTGCTTTTGCTGCCTCTGTTTTTGCATAGGCAAAAAAAAAAAAAAAGAAAAGAAAAGAAAAAAAGAATTGCTGAGACCAGTGTCAGTATCATGGAGCTTTTCAGAAGTATCCTTTATAAACAATGCCTTAAAAAGTTGGCATATAGCTACCAAACTTCCCCTGCCCTTGGATGGGTTGTCTCTGACACACACATCTATATAGTGCATATCCTGTGGTAATAGTGAGGATTCTATAGTGAGAGAGATGACAGTGCCATCCTACTCACTTGTTTATAGCACCTAGTTAATACTTCCATTCCCTAGTGCCCCGTGTGTTGTATCTAGTGATTACCATACCTTGCTTTATCTATTTTGCCCTCTCAAAACTGAAAAATAAGAAAAGCTTTTAAAAACCCCCCTGTAAAGAAATTTCACATTAAAAGTGACATATTTGACACAAGTTTTACAACTTCTGGATTCCCTTAGACCAGTGGTTCTCCATGGGGTGGTTTTGTCCCCCTTCAAGATTTTACAGTTTTATTACTCCAACTGGGGATGCGCTACTGGTATTCAGTGAGCAGAGGACAGGGAGGCTGCTAACCATTCTGGAATGCGCAGGAAATAATCTTAATAACAACAACAACAAAATTATCTGACCTCAAATGGTAATAATGTTATTGCTGATAAATCCTGACT